CAAAGGTACTTTCTAATCTTCACACTCCTAATTGTATTTAGGTACTTAGTTATGTTACATCTGCAATAGGTATTGTTAGGTTTTACCAAGTGCTCTAAACCAATATGAAACAAGAAACATGGATGAGTCTTATGATGTTGACTTGGACAAGAAGACTTGTACTTGTAGAGTATGGCAACTTAATGGTTATGGATGTGTGCATTTAGTTGCAACTATCTCATTTCTGAATAGAGATGTTGTTACTTATGTGGATCCAATGGTTTGTGGTGTTGTGTACAAGAACACTTGCAAGTACCTAATTCATGGGATGAATGGTAGCAGTATGTGGCCACCTACTGACTTCCTACCACATCTTCCACCTGTGCAGAAAAGAATGCCAGGTAGACTAAAGGTTAACAGAAGAAGAGATGTATCAGAAAAGCTCCCAATACACACTATGTCTAAGGTAGAGAAAAAATATCATGTAGTGTGTGTAAACAAGTGGGGCATAACAAGGTAACATGTCCTCAAGCTGAAAGACCTCAGGTATAAAAACCTCAAGGTGGAAGGAGGCCAAAACTAAATGTGAAAAAAAGGAAAGCAACTGTCAATGAAAATTGTGAAGGAACACAAGGAGTTGGTGTAGGAAGCAGTGTATCAAAATCAGTTCCAGAAGGGAAAACTAGAGAAAAAACAATCGGTAAGTGTAAAAGAAAGAAATTGGAGAGAATCATCAAGATGAAACTTGATAAGAGGGTTAAGGGCAAAGATGGGAAAGGAGATACTAGTGCAAACCCATTGGACCTTAATGACTAGGATGTGTTTTCCTTTAACTTGTTATGTTTGTACTTAGTTGTACTTGGTTGGACTTAGTTGTTATGTTTGGAATTGGGTTGTACTAGGTTGATTTGTTTGGAATTGTACTAGCTTTGTTTCTTTGAGAAACATATGTACTTGTTTATTTGTTTTGTGACTGATTTGTAATACTTATGTTGTTTGAGAAACTTAGTTTGTTTAAGAAAGATATGTACTTGTTTTCTTAATCGTGCATGGTGCACGTTACCCAAGGGAACATGGGGTCAATAGTTACAGGAATCAATGTTAATTTGGTTAGGTTACAAGGGAACATGTGGTCCTTGTAACATCGGTTAACACATGTGGTCCAATAATTTGCTTATGGTCCTTGTAAAAGATGTAGGGTAACAACAGTGACCACTAGAACGATTAAGACATTAAGTTTAATGTAACACAATAACCAAATTAATACAACAACCATTCATGTGAAACATACAAACCAAAACAAAGTACATTACAAGTTGGTCATAATTTAACCCAAATGACCTTGATTACAACTTGTACATAAGTAAACACAAAAAATACCCAACTACATATTAGGTACACCTTCAACTTAAAGACCTCAGATCGAAGGTTTTTGTTCGACCTAACACAACCCAATTATGATCACACCTTCATTGTCGCACTGCATTTCATCAACCCAAGCTATAAAACCTGAACAAGCATCATGATTCCAATTATTTGAATGAATTAGTATATGTTAAGAAAACTAGGGTTAACATCATAAAATGAACAAATGGTAAATTATCTTTTGGGACATGCATAAAAGGGTCTTCATGGGTTACTGGTAGTACGTGATGTTCGTATTATAGCCTCATCTCCAAATCCACATTCCATGTTCTTTATTATGTAGCTTCACAATGGAGAGTATTTGAAGAAGAAAACAATGTGCTAGAATGAAACAAGTAGGTATAGAAGAAACTTTTAATTGATTGCTAGTACGTGGAAAAGACTAATTTGCCCCTGTTGTGCAAGGTACGTGGGGTCACTAACATCCCCACTTTTCCTTCATCCCATTTCTAATGCACTTTCAATAGAATTTTTTCTAGATAAAAATTAGTTAATAGGATCATACACAATAAACAAAGAACATGTAACTTAGAAAATGCATGTCATGAAGATAGGTCTTTCATTCATCTTTGGTGTTCACTTACAAAATGCATGTCATTTAGATATGTCTTTTACATATATCACCAAAAAAATATAAAAATAAAAATAAAAAAAATTCTAATGGCTTTGTACATATATATCATTCTAATCTATCCATTATGTAATAACAATTACTTAATCCTAACATCACATCACAGCAGTCTCCACACCACTTCATGCACCCATATAACCACAAGCACAAGAATCCTCACACACAATCAGCAATCATCGATCACATCCTTCGCAACACCAACACAATTCAACAACAACAATTTAACTGATCATGGTCATCCAGCTTGTGCTAGAGATTGATGTGGTCGATCATGCACACGTTATACTCCTGTCCGAGCTACTCCTTCAACAGTTGCATGTCAGATTGGTTTTCTGCAATCTGTTGACCACATTCACAAAATATTGAATGGAGCACATTGTAGTTGACGCCTTCACCAGAATTTAAAGAGTCGGGTGAAGGTGGTGGAGCCGAAATTTTTGCTTTTTAAGGGTTCTTGTCGATGAGTGTTTGGCTGAATATGGTAAACAAGTTTCAGGGTTGTTTTACATCAAACCCCACATGGGTATGTCCCCGTTTAATATGCATGCCTAATCCTAGAACTCAATCGACTGTAAGAGTTGGTGGGATGTTGGTAGAAATTAAAGGCAGTAATTAATCTATGCATGCGTGTCATCAAGTCAACTCAGTATTGACTCAACAGGTTCACTTACCTGCTTACTTGGCAAGTGACTAGGCAGGAAAACCTGCTAAATGGGTAAGGGGACTTTTCCAATCGGTAAAACAGAAGTACATGCCCTTAAAATGCAAAAAAATAGTCACGGGGATCACTTAAACAATGATACGTAAGCTTGTTGGGGTACAGTGACAATAACCATAATTTCTATATATAAAAATTCTTCAATATGCTATTGCTAACAAAACCTCTGTTATCATCAACTTCACTTCCAACAGAGAAAATTGAAGCTGAAGAAATGGATGCAGATGATTTATTAGAGATACTTGTTAGTTTAAAATTGGAAAATGGTCTTTGATCACCTAGGTACAGGTGGAAAAAAGAACACACAAAAGAAACAGAGCAAACACGAAATAGGGAACGAAGAGAAATTTGGAAAAAATCCTTTGACTGCAAGTTACGTTCTATTCAAAGCTAAAAACTGAAAAATAAAACACAAAACATCTATCATATATATACTAAACAAATTAGAATCCTTTTCTAATACAAAAACGTATTTAAATGGCAAGTTTCCCGAAATACCCCTAAGCCTAAAATGTCCTAGATTTTGAATTACTCCAACAATATTAAAGCGCAAATCCAGTAATTCTAGTCTTTCACCTTCCCCAACATGCATTTCATCGGTAGTTAAGATGCATTTCCTGATTAAAAAATGAAATTATATCACGATGATGTTCGGTGGTTCATGTATATTTTATTTTATGTTTCTGGAGATTACTAGATTAAAGTGGGGAAGAAGATGAATAGTAAGGGGGTTGGTTATGGAGTTATAATGTGGGTTTAAGGTGGGGAAGAAGATGAACAATACTGATTTATTATGTGCTTCATGAGATTGTACATTCAAAGTCAATGTGGGTCAAAGAAAAATTGGTCAACCCGATGTCTGTGTGGCAAAGGGGTCACGGGCTGACCCCCTTCAATTTGTCCAAAAGGACATTATCGACCCGATAAAAACGACTTCATTCCCTCATAAAAACATGAAAATAGTTTAGGGACTAAAATGACCAACCATAGAAAGTTTATAGGGCATTTGTGTCATTTCATATATATATATATATATATATATATATATATATATATATAGATATTATATATATATATATATGATAAGAGAGAGAGAGAGAGAGAGAGAGAGATTATCTATTAACCGTGATTGATTTTAGACTAAATTGCAAAAATGGTCTCTGTGGTATGCATTTTTTTGTGGTTTTAGTCCAAACCATGACTTTTTTGGATTGGTGGTCCTTTTGAGGTAGTTTGCTTGTAATTTTGGTCCTTCGGTAAACTGAAAAGACTAAAATACCCTTCTGATAAATTTTTATGTTTTTTTCAATTTAAATTAAAGTTTTATTAATAAAAAATATGGGACCCACCTCTCTCTCTCTCTCTCAGACCAAAAAAACCCAGCTACTCCTTCATCTTCTTCCCACAGGTCTGTCATCTTTTCACCATCACCACACCACCTGCAAACTCATATTTGTTACAGTTCATCGAAAACCAATACCCCATTCACATCATCATTCCCATCGTCTACGACCACACTATTAAACTAGACCTGCAAATCAGAGATAAAACACACACAAGTTCATATTTCTTTAACTGGGTTTACAACAATTTTATCTCCTTCAAGTGTGAGTTTTTTCAGTTTCGTGTGTGTATTAAACTTAGATCTCAAAACTTCGATTGTGTATGGAGATCTGCTTCGATTTATGTTGTTCCTCGCCCCTTTCTTCTTAAGAACCCTAATTTGTCTAATGGTGGTGGTCTGGTGGTGTTGAGAAAATGGGTTTAGAGTTGCGATAACTTGGTGGTAATAAAACTCTAATATGTTCTTGAGTGAAGATGGATCCCTAATTGTGTGTATTACCGATGATGAACAACATGGACAGAAGCCCTTACACAGGTCTGGATTTGTAACTAGAGAATAGGAATAGAGGTGAGTTTGGGTTTGAAATTGGATTAAATGTGTTTGATTTTTGTGGATTCCGATATGGTATTCTCCATTCACCAGGGAAGAAGAAGCAATGGCCCAACCCTCCATCATCGATGAGCACACAAAAATCAAGAATCTGCAACATGCTTTGATCAATACTTCTTCCTAGTGCCATTAACATATTAATTATCGATGGAATCGCATCTCACTGATGGAGAATTGATTTGTTCCACATGGCTACATCTCCGACTCTATGCACCGTCATACCCACCACCGATTTGCATGTATATCTTCATCATCGTCATCTGGTCCCGATGCCCCTGGTCCAATGGTGGAGATCAAAGCGTCAGATTAGGCAGAAGAAGAAGAAATGGTGGAGAGGAGCGAAACTTAGTTGTTGTCGGTGGAGGCTCCATTAAAGGTGGATGCTTGGTCTCGATGGAGATAGTGATTCCGATCTGGTAGGGGGATGAACTTGGATTTGTACCCTTCAAATATCAAGCCTCCAAATCATCATCAAATCTATCAGAAAGAATGAGGCTTCTAGTCTATAGTGTGTGTATGTTTGTTAGATTAGGATAAAGAACGAGAGATGGTTCCAGTTGATGGTGGTCGTTCCAAATGAGAGACAAACTGGAACACTAATCTACAGAGAGAGAGAGAGAGAGAGAGAGAGAGAGAGAGAGAGAGAGAGAGAGAGTTATTTTTTGTATTTATTTATTAATTATAAAATAGAAAGAAAAATGACAAATAAATTTATTAAGGGTATTTTAGTCTTTTCAATTTGGGGAGGGACCTTTTCCACATACAAACTAGCTCAAAAGGACAACCAATCCAAAAAAGTTGTGGTTTTGACTAATACCACAAAAAAATGCATACCACAGGGACCATTTTTGCAGTTTTGTCTTGATTTTAAAAAAATATAAGGGCAATTGCGGGAAAAGACACGTCTGGATTCATAAACCATCTCCCTCTCCATTTTCCCGGTTAAGTCTTCATCTAGCAATTAAGTAAAAAGGAAACATTTAAATATATATGAATATGTTAAGTGTTCTTAATATTAAGTTCATTAAGTTAGAAATAAACACCACTTTAGCTTTTCGTCATAACAAATCTGATCTAACATTTTTCACATTTCATAATTTTGAAGTTAAACATAGTTATAAGTTACAATTTTGATCCTTATTATATTTTAAAGTTGCGTATTTAACTCCTTATATAATTTTTTTGTTGTTTTCGTTTTTATTAATATTACTTTTTATTTAAACGTCATAAACTTGTACGATGTTCGGATCCAAACTGTATTTTGATATTTTTATGCTCTACTTGATATTAATATAAACATAACTATGATATATATGGACTGTTGATATTTGTAAATCACATTTTATATAGGAATTACAAATGAGTTATCTCATGCTTTAAAATTATATTTTTGGTCTCCTATATAATTTATTTTTATAGTTTTTGTTTTTGTTAATTGCAAACGAGTTCTCCGTCGTGACATGCAAGGTAACCGAAATACTAGTTTTAATATTATTTATTAGAAAGTTCATTTGTTCACAATATTTTTTTATAATATACGATAATGTTTTAAAGGATTACAAAATTTATTTAACACAAACATGTTATTCTTTTATATGTATGACAAAAAACTATTATGAACGCTCTATCTGTTGCATACCAGCGTTCAAGTTTCCCAATAAACAATTACTCGGTTAACTATGGTAAAAATAAAACTTACTATTAAAATCTAAAGTAAAAAGTAATTTTCGAAATTGAATATGTATACTATAGTGTTAGATTTTAGAAGGAATTTAAAAGATCAACATACATTTTTGTTTATAACTCTTTACTTTTCTTTAAATATTATTCAAAAGTAGTTAAATGCATAGACACAACCGATTGCGAATACAACTTACATACTTCCTAAAAGAAATAACGACTCTAGAGTAAAAGCTTAATCATTAAAAAAAAAGTTGAATGGTTACCTTGTAAGTTAGATGATTTTAGACAAATTTAACCCATCTTATATAACATTTTACTTTTACCCACTTATTTGACCCATTAAGAGACACAACGCAACACAACAAGAACACTTATAAGCAAAAAAACAAACTACAAATTTGATGTCTAAAACATGATTGCAAAACAAAGTTTCATTACTACTCAAAAATCATATCAACATTGCAAGACCTTCCTTCTTTGGTGTTGCGGACACCTGGCGGTTCCCGGGGAAAGCAGTGCGAGAAACATCAACAAGAGCCTTGAAACTATACGGTTCATGCATAGACAACTCTGATAAAACCTTGCGATTAATTTGAATGTTCTCTTTCACTAGTCCATGCATGAAGTTACCATAATTAACCTAAAAATGTTTGAACGAAAATTTAGTCATTTTGATAAATAGATGAAAAGCTCGATAAAATGTTGTAAATTATAAACAATGTTTGGAAAAAAAAAATGATTACATAATTGAGTAAAAGTACAAAACCAAGAATTAAGAGTTGTTTGATATGTCTCTTACTGGGTCTGGTAATTTGATACCACAATTAGTTTGGTCTGATTGATTCATATCTGACACAATCAACAACTATCAAACAACCCTTTAATCAGTAAAGTCCAATTTCCATAACTTTTAATTATCTATAGTGCTTCGAAGAATCTAGTGTAATTTTAATATTTTCTTATTAGGACATTGTACTTTGAAAAACCTACTCAATTATATTAATTAAAATTACTTGAATTTTTTAAAATACAATATTGTTTGCTTTTAAGAGAAAGATTTAAAAGAGGTTGTACATACACCATGAACGCGAGTGCCAGCATTGATGCGTTCAATCCAAAGGGAACGCATGTCACGTTTCTTGTTCCTTCGGTCTCTATAAGAATACTGAAGTGCCTTTTCTACCCTTTCTCTAGCTATCCTTATGCAATTCTTTGCCCTTCCACGGAAACCTTTCGCTAGTTTGAATACCTCCTTCTTGTTCATGACTCTAAAAGGTGATTACTGGAATGGGTAAATATGTCATTTTACATTTATATCAATAATCACTTGATTAAGGACACACATATTTTTACATTTATATTAATAATCAGTTTTTCTTACAAGCTTCTCCAATCTGTGTATTTTGAACTTAAATAATCTAAAAATGATAATCATAATCTAAAAGTTAATATCTGTTCTTAACTCTCTTTCAATTGTTGAGTTCATAGCAAATCGAAAAAGCTGTATCAACTGAAACATCATTAATTACTTCACAGTTCACACCCATGTATATTACGCTAGAAATGATTTCCTATAAGCAACTAATCAACTAGCAACCCACATATTTCACACATTCCAAAATTCAACATAGACATGACATTACATATTTCTATCAGAAAACTGTCAAAATTAACAAAACCAAACTTACAAATTCAACAACCAGCAGCTGCGCAGCTGCAACCAAGCCGATTGAACAAAGATCGCGCGTCAAACACTACCTCTGCAGTAAAACAGAAACCCAATTTCAATGTTCATTTACAATCAATCGAGCTTCATTTAAAAACTAAAAACCCTAAATGAGCAAATGGATTCGGAGTTACGAACAGAGAAAGATGAGAGATCAGAGGCGCAGTCGGCAGTTCCGCAGAACAGAGCGAAACTGGAGAATGGTCTAAATAGAGTCTCAGTCGCGGCTGTCGCACAGAGCGGAAGAGAATGCTTGAGGTCGGAAACAAAGGCGCAGAGCCGATTGTAGCGACGAAATAGGCTGTTTGCCTAAATCCTTATTGGTTATTTTTGGGCTTTGGCTTAATGGACTTTTTGTTCTTGGGTCGGGTATTTGGCAAGTTCATTTTAACTAGATACACATTGCACAAATTTGGTCTAGACAGGTCTCGGGTCGGATCTCGAAACACTATCGTATTTTTGGAATTGTTTCATACGGTCTTGGGTCAGGTTTTTTTGGTTTGATTTTTTTTGACCGATCGCTTTTTGGTTAGGTCTCAGTCTTTTTCAGTTTGCAATCTTTGCGTACATTTTTTTGTTTTTAGTTTCGGGTTTTGCGATTCACTTTTGGTATTTTTTTATTATTTCATTAATAAAGATGTGTGATTAACACCAAAATGATACATTTGTTATATAAATTCCAACTTCTGTTCGAAAAAACTTGGGAGTCTTCCATTAAAAGTGACCAATAGTAGCCATCAACTACATGTTGTACAAACTTCTCTTTGCTTTCTCTCAAGGACACAAATGTGTTTTTTGTTCTAATATCACATGTTAAGAACCTAGAAATTAAAGCAACCCAAAATGAAGGAGAACTTATGATCTCTTGTTGATCCAAGGGAAACTATATTAATTTATAGGAAGATAAACATAGCTGATAAGAAAGAAACTAATTTACATATTCAATTGGAGATTTTGGGGTTGTTTGATATTCTCTAAATCATTCAGATCTTAATGACTCAGATACATTCATTCAGATCTTAATGACTCAGATACATAAATGATTCGGAGACTCAGAATGAATCTGCCTATGAATGAAAACATGTTGTTTGGTTAGGCTTTCAATAACTGTGTTACATTACCATTTTACCATTATGTTTAGAAAATTACCATTTTTCAAACTTAACAACTACAATTTCATCTCATTTTCATCCCACTTCCTTATATATCATAGATATATAACATAAACATACATATTTGGTGTTGTTCCTTTATGTAACTTGTTATTTTAAACAAATTTATAAGTCTAATGTGTATTGTGTGTGTATATTATTTTGTATTTCATAGATAAGGTATGCATAACCCTAGGATAGTCATGCGCCAACAAGTTTCTACGCTTTAATCATAACCTTGTTTCAAATGATTTAAACTCCAAAATTGTCAAATAATCATTTGACTTAAAATTTTCAATTAAATCAAGTCCAAAAAAATATATTTTTATCTCTCATAACCAAAAGAACAAGTTACTACAATAATATTTATACTAAAAATAGTTAAGTATTAAATGCAAAAACAAGTATAATATGTATTCAGTCCCATAAACCATATATGAAAATGTTACTCCCATTTATGCTTCTAGACATAATTAAAATTAAGGGAAAAGTGTAGCAAAATCGAATGATCATCAATAATCACATAATCATATAATCACTTGTATTTCAAGAAAAAAAAAGGTATGAAGATGCAATGTCTCCGATAGGTTGAGCAACCAACCATACTTTCTGAATCGGTTCATTTTCATAAACACATTGTATTTTTTTATTATTTTTTTAACCGACAAATATAAATATATAATCTACTCCTAAACGAAACACCTTGTATTCACACAGATAAATAACATCAAATTTTACCGAAAATGTCTAGGAAAGTAGACAATAGAAGAAGGCCTCAAGAATTGCATAAACCATATGGAGACACAGTTAACTACCATTAAAATTTGCCTAAAAACCGAAGGAGTTCACGTTCTTATCTAGTGATTATCTAGATTTACATCTCGTTGTAAATCTAAATTGTGTGCTTATCATTTGTACTCGTTGTATTTAATCCCCTGAGATGAGATAATCAGTATAGTTTTCGATTCACAAATTCAATAAAAACATCTACATTCACATAAAGCATATGAGTTTATACTTTAAATGGTTGACCCATGAGAGCCTAGTGGTTGAGATACAAAATTCAATATAGCAGGTCTAGCATTCAAACCCTAGCACACCTGAAATATTGCTAGTGTCCCACGATCGACCTACAACTTTGGGGCAGGTTTATGCGGACCACTCAGATCGTGTTGTTTACTATTTTTTTTATTCATCAAACTAGTTAGTTTTTGAGAAGAAATTCACACCGCAAAATAGAGAGATACCAATGAATGAGATGTGTCAATTGGCAGAGAGTCGATTTTGCAAATTCGGTTTTGGTGGCATCGATAGTTCAGACGGAGGTGTGGGTAGTCGATGTTGACTTCTATCATGTTCTTGATTACCTCCTTATTCAAATCGATGACTCAAGTCACATATACTCTATGGAATACAATATACTTGACGATGGGAGGGTGTTGATTGAGGCTTGACTACATCGATGGAAGGGATGTAAGGGGAGGAGGGTGTCGTAAGATAGGAAAATAAGGAAGAATTCGCCGACATGGAGAAGAGGGAAGATGGTGATTCAGGGAGTTGATTGTTTTTTTGTTATGTCTATTGTGTGTAGAAAAAGGAAAGAAAAGAGAGAAATCGATTTGAGGGGTAAGAAGGGAACTCTTGTATAGATGAATGGTTCAAACTTTTGTTTCCGCTGAATAGTTTAGACTGTAGAGGCTCCAACCCTCTCATGACCGAATCAGAGACGTTTTTCATACGACTCTTAATGGTTCAGAGCCTTAATTGAATGGTTAAAAACTACCAAAGAACCCCTAGGTCGATTGGAATACAAAACCCAACATGTTTTATCTAATTCTTAAAAAATCCGTTATATGTTTTTAGTTTGTTAAAACCTGTATATTTTCTAAAATTGCCAAATTTAAGGTTTTGAGATTGATAAACCTTAGACAACCACAAATGCTAGGTAACATGTTCTTAAGAGTTTGCTGATGACAATGCCTTAAATTATAATATTTAAGAAAATATAAGGGTTTTTTTTAACTGCTAAATGTATTAAACTAGCTAGAAGTAGACCTGGCAATGAGGCGGATTTGGAGCGAATCGACCTTGATCCAAACCCCTTTAACACATTTCAAGTTCCGATCCAAACCCGCTCCGTAACCCGTAGGGTTTTGAATAATCAAACTCATACCCTTATTCGTCGAATCAACAGATATTCAAACCCGCCCCGTAACCCGTAAGTTTTTTGAATAATCAAACACATTTTACTTAAACCTCAAAAAAAACATTTATTAAATAAAACAAATGTTGATTTAAATAACACATTACGAAGGACTTTCAATTGAAATTAAAATAATTTTCGTAGTAACTTCTGATTGGTTTTTGACCGTCGATTGCATTGATAGAGAATAACAATTACAAACTTTCTTCCGATTGATAAATGACTGTTTGGTTGATGAAATATAAACGAAATGACATCTTGTTTTTGCTAGAATATTAAAATTCTAGAAGTTGAGTCCTCGATTTCTATGTAAAAACAGTTTAGTCTTTGGTCTTTTCTCTTTGGACTTTCGATTAAAATTAAAAGCAAACTTTAGGTTGTATAAAATATAAATTTATAATTCTAAAATTTATACGGGGCGGGTTATAAACGGAGCGGATCAGTGATGATCCATACCCGACCCTTTTAATAAAAGGGTTAGCGGGTACGGGTCGTTAACAGGTAAACGGATCAAAAACTATGCTTCAAACCCATATAATTATTAAGGGTTTGGATCGGATCATGGTCAAAACCTGCTCCATTGCCAGGCCTAGCTAGAAGCTAGCAAAAGAAAACGAAAAAAACAATGAGTTCATGAATCGGTTTATTATCCATCCATTTTTTTACGAATCCTACTACAAAACCAATTAAATAAGAAAAACACAATTGAATAAAAAAGAAATTATTTCCTCAACTTCTCATTGGCGAACACCAAAGTATTTATGAACGTCCACAACACCCATAAAAGCGTTAAACAAATGGTATCCAATATAACACGACGATAATTACTACTCCCTTGAGCATCAATCCAATCAAAAAGATCCGTCAAATCTTGAAAAGAAGGCAACACTTCATCAAACCAAAAATAAATCTTTTTCCAGAGCTAAACCGTCAAAGGAAATTTGAGGAATAAATGATCAACATCCTTCTGTTGAACATTGCAACATGGGCACAACACCGACTCCACATCAATCCCTCGTTTCACCAAACTGGATCTAGTACCTGTTAAGCACCAATCTCCAAATAAAAAACATTAATTTTAATAGGAACACACTTATTCCATCTTGTAACTCCACCACCTATAGGCAACATATGATTATCCAAGTGGAATCTAAGGGATTTAACCGTGAAAACATCTTCATCGCCAAACTCCTAAGACCACGAGTCTAAACGATCTGTGATTTGAAACGGACTAAAAACCTCCATCCATTGAATATATTGTGTTTAAATGGTTCCATATGCCAAGTAAAGAGCCAATTCTGATCAACCCAATAGTCACTAACCATACTATCGCCATGAGCTGCCAAAGCATAGAGTCTCTGAAACTAGGCTTTTAGAATCACATCTCCACGCCAAACATCAAGCTAAAATCGAGTATCATTCCCATTGCCAACTTTCCTCTTAAAGCAATCATAAGGAAGCAACGCAACATCATGAAGGTCAAAAACATGCTTCACAACCTCCACCCAAACACCTGACCTGACATTAGCATTGATATTCATAGAAAACCCCCCATCCTCACCGTATATGCCTTTGAAAAGATTGACTCACAAGAGATTACCACCATGCAAAAATATCCACCTCCATTTATATAAAAGAGCATGATTAAACGCACGTAGACTACCTATCGACAACCACCCACAATATTTACCATTTAAGACCACATCCCATTTAATCCAATGCATAATACGTTTCTCCTCCTCCACACCCCAAAAAAACCTGGACCTCATAACCTCTAATTGATTGGCAATCGAAACGAGCATCTTAAATAGAGAAAAGTAATAAATGCCTAAGCTTCCTAACACATATTTTACTAACGTGAATCTACCACCGATCAACAACATACGCGATTTCCATGCAGAAATACGCTTTCAAAATCTATCCAAAACCACATTACACGCATGGATTTTCCCCATGTTTTCTCTAACCAGTAAACCCAAATACGTAAAAGGGAACGAATATGCACCACAACCCGTTCAAGAAGATAACTGTTGAACAGACGCTGCAAAAATAATCATGTTTGACTGTCCAACCTTAACTCCCTGAAATATAGAATCATGTCACCATGTCTCAACCCTCTAAAGTTTTGAAACTCATATGTAGGACTGCAATTTTACAAGACCGAGGATCTAGGAGACCATAAACATCCTTGAATCTAATTACACAATTTTTCACCAAACCCCATGGCATGCAACACATGATCTAAGTACTCCCAAGAAACCGGATCATAGGCCTTTTCAAAATCTACTTTAAACAACATCATCTTTTTTTCAACTTTGCCCATTTGACAATCTCATTGACTATTAGAGCCTCATGTAGTATTTGTTTACCTTTCAAAAACGTAGATTGCACCGGACTGACAATCTGATTGGTCACATTCGCCAACCGATTAGCAAGAAATTTTGCAAAATTTTAAAATTGCAACCCAATTAAACTAATTGGTCTATAATCTTTTATCTCCGTAGGATTATTAATCTTCGAAAATAAGTGTAATAAAAGAGGAAATACACCCCCGAGGAAGCGCACCTGAAACATAAAATTCCTGCACAAATGCATAGACGTCATTTTTGAATAAATCCCAGAACTTCTTTAAGAAACGGAATGTAAAACCATCTGGACCCGGAGCTCTATCACTACCGCAAGACCAAACCGCCACTCTAATCTCTCCTTTTTCAAAAACACCCTCAAGACCAAGAGATTGATCCACATTTAATCTATGAAACCGAGAACTAGAGATATCTACCCGAATCCCCTCGAAATGACGGAATATTTTCTCATAATACTCATAAAAATCTTTCTTGACCACGATAGAATCTGTTGCCCACACCCCGTGCATAGAAACACCATTAATTGCCATTTGTTTCCCGTATACACTTCAAAGTACCATGAAAAAACTTAGTGTTTTAGTCACCTTCAACTTCCCATTTAATTTTTTATTTTTGAACACAATCTAACATATCTATTTTGTCAATTTTGGTCACCTTCTGAAGCACTTGTTGTCTCTCCACAAGTCAGTCATCCGACACTGCCTCATCATCAAACAACTTGTCAATTTCTCCAAGGCGTTGAATATATTCCTTTCTTTGATCTCCTTTCGCCAACCTCATATTAATCTGCCACTCCATAATTCTGTTTTTCACCCATTTAAGTTTATTTTCTAGATAAATACATTTAAATGAACCAACATCAAGTTCAAATTTTTGACAAGCCCGCATCACAATATCAGAGAAATCCTCCATTTCAAGCCACGAATTAAAATACTTAAAAGATGTAGGACCATAATCTGTTGGATTAGGTGTCTAAGCCAATAAATGAATTGGTATATACTTGAATTATTAGCAAAGTCATTTAGGGTTTCCCTCAGACCTAGTAATTGAATAAGATGACTTTTAGAGAGAGAGAGAGAGAATGATTTATTGATTTACTATAAGATTAACAAATAACAATAAATAAATTTATTAATATGTTATGAAAATAATATAATAATTAGAAATAGTATTATTAATTAAGAATTAATCAGAAATTAATTAGAATTAATTTTGGGATTAATTAAAAGTACAAGGGTTAAAGTGTAATTGTTTAATAGTTGAACAAGAGGCATTTCAGAAACTTCCTGATACCTTGGACGATTTTAGAAGGTGTCTAGGGATTCTAGAATTATCCTTGGAGGATAATCAGGAAGCTGAATAATTACCAATTTCAGATATTATTATTATATTGGTTTTAGGGTTATCCAGGGGTTCCTAGTTGCACTATATAAAAGACCCTTAGCCTTGCAAATTTCGACCATTTGTTCCTAATAGAGTGATAGCTAAAATTCTTCTCCTCTCTCGTCTCTCTTTAAGTCTTCTTGTTTCTAGGATTAGGTGTGAACCATCAGAGGCACGACACTTGTGGTGCTTGCTTCTAGAAGCATTAAAGATTGGATTACTTGATTATTTACTAAAACAATCTACAAGGTATGTAAACTAATTCATGTTTTCATTTTTTAGTTTATAGTATGTTGCCTTCAACGTATTTGACATAGACCCATTATAGGATGCATGTACCTAATTAATTGTTAATTAATTTTCCACATTGTACATTGTTTTGTATTCTATAATTCTCATTAGTGGTATCAGAGCTTTGGTTTGTCAAACCTTGATTACACATGAACCGTAAAACATAAAACAATTTTTTTTGAAATTGTTGGCCACGACATGACACTTCCTTGGCCACGACGTGACATTTAGCCGGAACATATTTTCGGTGATTATCTGCCTAATTTGATATGTGGTATTATTTT